TCGGGCGTCTGGTCATCATTGTTCAGGTTTGTCCATAGAGTTCATTCAAGGGCATGGGCCATGGTCAGTCCAGAGGGTTCAACCACCAAAGATCAAGGGGGTATTGCCAGGGACAACTGCTATGGGAGGGAAGCTAGGTAACTTAATCGGGGGGATTGGAGGCAGCCTGCTGGGATGCAAAGGTGATAACAACTGTGAAAAGAGTCAACTCAATATTTAAAGAAGGCGAAGACGATAGAGCATTGAAGGGAAAGACGTAATGTCGAAGTTGAGGGGGGTGGTCGTTGATAGTGAACAGCATCCTGAATTTGATGGAAGTCAGTGACCTACTGTATCTGGCATGTTGATGGAATACGTTTGGGGCTGGTGGGAGTGAAGAAGGGAAATGAAGAGTTAGTTAGATGGGTTTGGTGGAGATGATAGAGAAGCTTACTAAGTGGGAATGCGTGCATTTGGGAGCTCATCAAAAATAAGAGGCTGAGCCTGCAATCACTGCATGAGCAGTGAATGCTGTTTCCTACCATCGCTCTGTGAATAACAAGTGCACAATGAAACTGAAAATAGCCGTGACCCCACACAGAATGGACAGGGACTTCGCTTTTGAGCAATGTGAGGCCCTTCAAAGGACATCAGCATTACACAGTACAGCTGGAAGCACTATGTGCTGTACGTGAATCCGTGGCGTGAACCTGTAGTGTGCAGTCCAAACTCTGGCCTGAAGCCCTTAACCACATTATGCAGTATCGGGAATCAATGCCAATTATGGCTGTGCCACATAAGCAATCTATTCGTGGCCTGGAAAGATTGATCCCAGTTGCTAAAGTAATAAGCATCTTCCATGTTCCCAGATCCTACACATGTTGCAAGAGCTGTTCACTTCAAAACTTGAACTCTAGAACGTTGTGTAACATTAAATGCAGTGAGGATATGTACCTTCAATCTTCTAGTTGTGGCTAGACAGACATTCGCTCCCACAGCTGATAATGGAAGGTCCACGTGTTTATAAATGTAATAACGTATTTACAATGAAGTATCACCAATGTCACCTACATGCCCTTTCTCTTCCATTATGTGACAGTGCAGTCCCAGGCTCTGTAGTTATGGTGGAGGGCTCTTGCTCTACAGAGGAGCTCATTGGCCTTAAAGGTTTGGTTGGGCCATCCTGGGGGGCCATTGATTCTAGAGGGGCCAAACCTGCTGAGTGTGGCCTGCCCAGAAGCAAGTGCCTCCAGCTTGGCTTTTGAACTCTCAAACAGCTGAGAGTGGCAGGAAGGGTAGAGATAGAAATCATGGCCACCTCTACAGTGTCCTGGGGATGTTGGGGGGAGGGGTCTGTATGTGATGTCTCGTCTGACTGGGTGCCTAATGGCACCAACCTAACTCTTTGTGAGGAGAGGGGCATCTGGACTGGGGTGAAGGTCCCTTAGTCCCTGAGCACCAATACTAGAGTCTTGGAGTGCAGGTTTATGTGTGTAACCAGCAGACTCTGAGAATGCTAGAACTGGCTCTCCATTGGCAGCCACCATGGAGGCAACCAGATGGCCGCATGCCTGAGGCAACAGTTGCCCAGTGTGCCAGACAACCTGCCCACTGCCCCCGCATCCTATTCTGCATTGCAATGAAGTTTTTAATGGCCAAAACCATGGTGTCCTCTCCTGCCTGGGGCTGAGTAGATGCCTCATCTCCAGGAGTCCTCCAATTGCCAGCGACCTGGGCAATTTCTCTCATTACCAGCTGTGGAGACATGGCAGTGATGTATTGACCAGCATGTGCTCACGACTCTAACCTAGCTAACTACTGAGGTGTCTGCATTGGAGTGTGCAGGAGGCAGCCTTGCTGATACATCCTCAGAGATGGTGGAGGAGGAGATGTCTTGGCTGCAGAGACCATACTGATACAACCTGTACCTGTAAGAAGTAAAAGAATGTATCATGAACAAGTATAGAAGTCCCCACCAGCAGGTAAAGAATACATTCACAGTTGAGGTAATGGGAGAGTGACACAGCAATGGACAATGCTTCTTACTTGGTTGCTGGGATGTGGAAATTTCTGCATCGCCACAGGATTGGGCTCAGTTTTCATTGGCGAGATCCAATGTTGTCACTTCATAAGGGGTGTGGAGATGAATGCTGGATGCCCCACCACCCAGTTTGGACAGTTGAAGCCTATTATGAAGCTTTTTCTCCCTGAATGAAAGAAAAGGAGGGATTGAGTGAGATGGAAGTGGCTGGCACAGCTGTTAGTGTTGGGGGGAACGTGGGAGGTGGCCTAAGTAGGCAGTGGAGAAGGCCTGCAAGATTAGTACTCTGGGGGTTTGGGTTGGATTAGAGCAAGTGAGGGAAGATTTTGCATGCTATAATGAGAGTGATAGTGCATGAGCCTTGGTGGGCGATGGATAGTTGAGCCCAGTCTGGCAAGGGTGGCAACCATAGACCAGGCTGGAATAGTCTGATATCAGGGCCTCCTCTGCCAGACTTGGGAGAAGAGAATGGCCCCCTCCGTGCAGGATGCCAGTTTTTTCTTATCTGTCATGTCCAAGACAAATAACACAAACTGTGCAAGGCAGCCCAGGGCTGACAGTGCTTGACTTGGTGCAAAACGGTGTTTGAAATATAGTGCAACACCAGGAATCCCACAAGGACCCAGCAGTGGCGAGTGGGAGAAATGTGGTGCATGACAAATAAGGCAAATTTAGGATGATAGCATGATGAACCTCATGAGGGAAAGAAACTCTCCATGCCAAAAGTTTGCCAGAACAAACACAGCCTATTCCTGGTATTCAACCCAGAATGTTGTGACAATGGGTATGAACCCTAAAATACTCGAGCCATTTCTTTTCCTTATATGTCTTTTTTTGGAAGGCAGCAACCTAGACAAATTAACTGCAAGTGTAAATTCAGTGTTTGGCTGTGCAAAAGATCTATATTACTGACCGAATGTGACACCTAAAGGTCCCAAAAAAATTTCAATCATATTGGATTGTGATCTCTTGTGAGTAAAAGATGAGGGGTGGATAACCACACTGCTGCTCAACAGTAAGACACTGACCTGCGGATTACATTTCAAACTGCAAATACTATTTGAAAAATGAGAGGACAGAGATTAACCATTAACTCTACTGGTGTGAACCAGTGGGATTGAATATCCTTGTGTGCACTGGGTTCGAGCATTAGGCAGTTACATTTGAAGAATTATCCACTTGTTATCCTTGTATTGTAAGTAGATGCTGTATCACTCCAAGTATTGCAAAAGGAATCAGAATAAAAGAACTTCCATCAGTCTACAAAACCTGGAATCGCAAAAATCATCTATTTAGCTGCCAATATCAACAGCATCTGTACAGCACAATAACAGTTGTAATATCGCCTTATCTGTTCACTACTAACAACTCAGAGACCGAACTTCTATTATTTTGGACTCACCTCTTATGTAAGGGCGATACGGTGGCTCAGTGGTTAGCAAAGGATGGCAAAGTGGCTAGCAATGCTGCCTCCTGGCATCAGGGACCCGGGTTTGTATCCCAAATGGCAAATGTCTCTGTGGTGTTTACATGTTCTCCTTGTGTTTGCGTGCGTTTCCTCCCACAGTCCAAAAATGTGTAGGTTAGGTGAGTTGGCCATGCTAAATTGCCCCATAGTGTCCAGGGATGAACAGGCTAGGTGGGTTAGCCAGAGTAAATGTAGATTATGGGGATAGGGTGAGATGTTATTTGGAGGGTCCATGAAAATTCATGAGTCCAATGACCTCTTTCTGCACTGATGGGATTCTATGAAACACATTTCTAATCTTTCTTTGTATAGACATGTGTTAATATTTCTTCTCAGTCTTCTTTTTTGTCAGTTTGTGAAAGCCTGGGTAAACTGGTTCTTTTTTTTTGAAAGCATAAGTTCATTTGGTTAGGAGAAAGGTATCTAGAAGGGAAGGGATGTGTTTATATATTAATCTTGTGGCACCCAACAGAGGGTCTGGGTAGATGAGGGAGAGAATCCAGCTCGTGCCTCCTCATCTGGGAGTTTAAAGTTAAGGCTATCAAGTCCAGAGCTGTAACAAATTGGGGAACCTCTGTTGGTTATAGTAGAAACATAGAAAATGGGGGTGAATAGACCATTCGGTCCATTGAACCTACTCCACCATTCAACAGCTGGTCATCTATGACAATGCCATACTCCTCTCTCCCCACAGCCCTTGACACTTTCAGTTTGTAGAATTGGCCAGAGTTCTGGGCATGGAATCAATGTTAGCAGGGCTTCACTGGAACAGAGTTTAATAACATGTATCACGCCAGTCTTTCATGTCCTCTTGCTGAGAATTGTCTTTTGCATTCAGAGCGAGATTCAAGTAACTGATTATTACTTCAAAGGCGTTAGTACTGTAATTCACAACAATAAGCTCAGCTCCCTGTGCATTCGCTGCTACTTTGTTAGCGTGAATGTTTCGCAGACACAAACGGCGTTGGGAGAATACTGCCACGTTCAGTGCTCCCGGCAGGGGAACTGCTACCGAACACAACAAGGGCTCGTTATTTTCAAGTGGTGTCTAGCGCAGCCCGGGTCTCCGGCTGCAGAAAACAAGGGTTAAATTCGTTGGAAGTGAATGCAGCGCCGGTCTCAGGCTGCAGAGGCGGGTTGGGGAGGTAGCCAGCAAAGAGGCGGGGTCCGGCTCGTTTGATGTGCGGATCTGGCCGAGAGAATGAATGGATGTGCAGGCAGCTCACACCATCCCCACCGGTCGGCGGGCAGAGTGAGAGCCGCTCGCTGAGGGATGCACAAGGCAGGGCGAGCTCTGTGTGCATGGCCCCGAGCCTGCTGCTGAAATGAGTCCGTGTGGGCAATGGGCGCAATCGAAGGGGGGTTCGCAGCGCTGGATGTTACAGCAAAGAACATTTACGTAAGCGACAAGGCTGCCCCTCCTGATCGTCCCAGTGCTGCTGCGGGCAAGTCTGAACCCAGTGCATTTCGTGTGTTAGACGGGAGAAGGTGCTGGAGACCCCGGGGGAAACCATGCAGTTGATGATTTGGGTAAAAGGGCTGCTGTGTCAACTGTTTGTATTCATACCTCTTACTCGAGAATTACGTTTACATCCTAAACAAGGTACCGTGGCTTTATGGTGGCAGAGTTTACATTTGTTTCAGATCCGGATGGGGAATGAGTTGTGGATATAAGATATAGCTGTATGCACACAACACCCTTTTATCTATATGATAAACTTTCGAATAGGTGAATATACCGAAGGTGTGTTTTATATTTAATTTAATTTGTTATTGTCACGTAAGGTGAAAAGGATTGTTTTGCAAATCACTGTACAATTATAAATGATTCACACTGGATTTTCACACTATTGTTAACGTAGTATTCTAGAATGATTAGCTGGTCTGAGAAAGTAATGTTTGAAATTGTCTTAACTTTTGACCTGACGGGTGAAGTTTGAACTTACAAGGCTGTTAAACTCCTTTCAGAGAACTTCATCAGGCAGCTGAGCTCCTATGAGATCACCTCTCCGAAGCGGCTCAACGATTTCGGAGAGGCTTTCCCGCACACCCATCACTTCAGGAGGAGGAAGCGGAGCCCGGACTCGGAACCTTGGGCCTCCTGGACTCACTACCAGCTCCACGCCTTCGGGCAGCTGTACCGGCTCAACCTGAGCGCTCACTCGGACTTCATCGCCGCCACGTACCGGGTCAGACACTTGGGCAGAGCGGAACCTGGCAGCCTGCACTCCGACTCTGATCTGAAACACTGTTTCTATAGCGGGCATGTCAACTCAGAGATGCAGCACACCGCGGTGGTCAGTTTGTGCACTGGCATTGTGAGTATACTGGGCCAACTCTGTGGCTAGAGGCTGGGCTTTAGCGGGGAAGGGAGCTGATCGCTGCCCTCACTTTGTCTGTAGCTGAGCAATCAGCGGTGGAAGGGGATAATCCGTAGTTGGAGGGAGGGTGGGTGGGAAGGTGCAGAAACAAAAATTGCTGGGAAAACTCATCAGGTCTGGCAGCATCTGTTGAGAGAGAAAACAGGGTTTCAGTTCCAGTGACCCTTCTTCAGAACTGAAGGTTCAATATGAGAGATAGTAGGAACTGCAGACGCTGGAGAATCCGAGACAACAAGGTGCAGGGCTGGATGAACACAGCAGGCCAACCATTTCAAACCTCTGAAGGAAGCAGGGCTTGAACACCGTCCACCTAGTCCAGAGGCAGGGAGTGCACCACAAATTGGGGTGCCCATGAGAATCTGGTAGTCATTATTTCGAGACCTGCCTTTATGAATGTAGACAGCAGCCCGGCATGGCTCGTCCTCTATTTAGGGATGGGGTGATTCCGGCTTATTTTGGAACCCGCTGCTTTCGGAACCTTGTTATCGCTGTCACTGGGTGTACGGTTTGATGTGGACGGTTTTGTACCGCTGTTTAACTTGCTGGGGGAGGGGGGAGAGCGTGGATCGAGCAGTTCGATGAGTTGAAGTGGGTTTAGCTGCTGGGCCGAGCAGATACGGGGCAGGCGGCTCTTTAGCAGGAAGCCCGGCTTGTCACTGCCTCAGCCCCAGAACCATCTTGTACAATCTGATCGGCGGCGGCCAAACAGAACCTTTTTTTAAGAGAGGCGATTGTCTCTTTCTGCCTGGCCTGTTTATAATTGCCAGAAAACAAATTTGCACGGCAATTTCCACAGTAATTACAGCAGTCAGATTCTCAGCCTTCTCAAATATCCCAGTGCCTGTTCTAAATTAAACATGTTATACGGTTCGAAAGTATGCACCACACTCGCAGTGTTGTACATTCAACAAATGGGAAAGGAGAGGACACTGGCCAAGTCCCAAGAGGCAAGACTGGCAAGTGGGCTTGACCTAGTACATTTCTGTTCAATGGTCACAGCTAATTCTAAGGATCACTTGAGCAAGGGGCACGGCCTGTTTGCTGCCAATAGAGCTCAATTAGAGCTGCTTTCGAGTCCCAGTTACATTCTTTCATTTGTTAATAAAAAGAAATAGCTCTGGTAGGAGGTGGACTCAAAGAAACTTGCCTGTAAGTGCTAACACTTGTGTTCGATTCTTTGGTTGCATTTGGGGGCTGGCAGGTCTCTGTTCTCCAGAGGGACATTGAAGAGGTCATATTTATCCAGGTGTGCATCTTGGAGTTAGCAAAGCTGAAGTAACACAGAAAAATACAAACCCACAAATGGTCACATCTTATACTTGGTGACAGAGCGTAGAGACATTGAATAGTAAAACTATCAATGTTTAAAAACACCAAAGAAGTCCATTTGTTCCATCATGTCTATCCTAGCCAAAAATATCTATTCAGCCTAATCCCGATTTCTAGCTCTTGGTCTGTAGCTCTGTGGCTTAAAGCACCTTATGTATGTATCCATGTCATAGAGTCATTCAGCATGGAAAGAGAGCGTTTGGTCCAACTTGTCCATGCTGACCATGTTCCCAAACTAACCTAATCTCACTTGCCTGAGTTTGACCAATTCCTTCCAAACCCACACTCTGTTTTAAAAAAAATGTTGCCCCTCATGTTCTTTCTCCTCTCATCTTAAAAATATTCTCCCTAGTTTTGAACTTCCCCCACCCTAGGGGAAAGACCTTGCTGTTCACCTTATCTTTGACCCTCATGATTTTATAAACCTCTATAAGGTCACCCATCAATCTCCTACTGTCCTGTGAAAAAAGTCCTGGCATATTCAGCCTATTTTTATTGCTCAGAGTTTTTACCTAGACCAACTTGCGGGTGACAAATTTCTCCCCAACTCTCCTTTAATCCTTTTATCAGTATTTTAAAAGCTATCCCCTGGTTATTAACCACTCTTTTAAAGGAAATTAGATCCTCCTCATCATTTTATACATTTCAATAAAATCTTTCTTCAGCCTAGCTTTCTTTGTGGTTAAAATATTCTTGACTCCATACAAAACACTCATTGGTGCATAATCGATTTTGTTTCCTGCTTCAATATTAATGGTGGGGAGCAAGATGGGAGAATGGGGAGAAACCTGTGCAGGAGTGAATATAATCAGAAATGCTTTATGTGATCTGGCCCACCTTCTTGTCCCCCCATCCAAATACTGACAGCTGGAGAAGGCAGGATCGTTGTTGAATTTCAGAATGCTAACCATGAGCGTTAACAGACAGAGTCAGAGGCATGAAACTAGAGAGTATCCAGCATCTGTGAGTTTTGTCCACTCCATAAATCTAAATTGGAAGCTTTACAATGGCATTAGTGTCTCATTCAGTTGGAGTGAGTGTTAGAGAGATGCATATCTTTGCGTTCTTGGCATCCAGAAGCAAGAAGTTCATCTGGGGAGCAACTGTTGCTTGCATACCTACACTTGTCCGTCTATTAATGAACAGATAATCCACATTCAACTTGTGAACCATATGAGTGAAGTTCTTCCACCCATTTGCCAAAAATAAAGGTTTTGAAAATACGTTGCCATGCTAATTGTGTACAGTGCAGTTTGGGAATGTTATTGCTACCACACGTTGTTAACCAGCAGTGAAATTAGGAGCACAGGAATAGATCATCCATCCTCTTGAGCCTAACGCCACTGCATCCTGCTCTCTTCTGTTACATCACGGCTACTTTCTCCATTTGCTCATCTTTGTTCTGTATCCTGTGATACTTTAAGTCTAACAGAATTTATTAATGTCAAAGAAAACTTCAATGCACCCAGCATTCAAAGCATTTTGGGGACAGAGTTCCAGATTTTTTTAATCCTCTGTCTGAATAAGTATGACCAAGATCACGCTTAAGTGGTTTAGCTCTAATGTTATAAATATGACCCTTGCCCTGGTTTTACCTCATCAAAGAAAATAGTTTCTCCTTATTTACCCTTTCAAATCTATTCATTATTTTAAACAGCTCATGTAGATCAACATTGTAAACTCAAGAATGTAACTCAACTCTATGCAGTGTTTAACTCTTTATGTTCTGGTATAATTCTGGTAAAGGGTGAGAAGTTGGAAGTGATAAATCCTGAATATTTGAATGTTCTTATGAACACTTAATTGGCAGCTTACTATAAAGGATTGTGGAAGCAAATATTGAAGCCCATTTATGCACTTCATCTAAGGATATAAAGCTTTCTTTTCTCATTAATGTGTTTTTATTAAATTTGGTCCTGTAGTCGAATCCTTCTGCCTGATTCTTCTGAGTTTAGACAATCATTGCGAGCTCCAGCCTCCATAAATATGCATGGTGTTTCGCTGGCTGAATATGTACCAGACACATTCTACATGCAGTTGCAAATGCTGCACAATCATTGCAGGACCTTTGCTGAAGTCAAGGGTGTAACAAAAATTATAGTTTTGGTTTGCTTCTACCCCTTGAGCGTCTGATTGTGCTTAGGTGTCCATTCATTCTCCATGGTATTTGCTTCCCATATACACAATTAGCAATGACCTTTTGCTTTGACACTGCCAGTCATTCTTGTCATTGAGGCTAAGTTTAAAGAACAACTTTGCGAAATATGCTAAACTCTATAGCCTTACAAACAAAATGTGCATTGCATGTTCAGCCTCTCCAGGGTAACGACTATTACGACTCACAACTAAGTAATTTTTTGGCTATTTTATTATTCTCCAACTAGCTTATTGTTTGTCCTTGAGGGCTATTGGTCACTGTGTATCGTCCTTCCTTTTAGAAGGCATAATTCTGTGACCTGTCCTGAAGGCTTCTATTCATGCTAACTTATGATTTTTAGACAGGAGGTATGGTGCACTTGCAGTGACATGTGGTGGTTTTCCAGCTTTCTTCATGCTGGCTGTAAGGTGTGAACTGACCGAGGAATTCTATTGAGTTTCTCTTTCAAATAATATCACTTGAACTTTATAAATTTCTGGAGGCATGGACTTCTTGCTACAGGAAAGATCTGCAAGTCTAGGCTATCCTTCAGCATCTATTTAAAGCAGAATGGTAATTCCTGTCTGATCCTGAATTATTAGTTTCAGTAGGCTGTCCCCCATGAGTGGCTTAACCATAAAATCACCCATAGCCTTAGCCAATATCCATGCCCGTACTCTTTCATGGGGTGATCATGATGAGGAGAGCATTCTGTCTTGCTTAATCAGAACATTTGTAGTCATTTTTTTGATGTATCATATCACATTTAGAGTGATAGAGCTGTACGGCATGGAAACAGAAACTTGAGTCCAATTTGTCCATTCCCACTAGATATCCTAAATTAATTTAGTCCTATTTGCCAGTATTTGGCCCATATCCCTCTAAATCCTTCATATTTATATACCCACGCAAATGCCTTTTAAATGTTGTAATTGTACCAGCCTCCACCACTTCCTCTGGCAGTTCATTCCATATGCGCACCACCATCCATGTGAAAAAGTTGCCCCTTAGGTCATTTTTAAATCTTTTCCCTCTCACCTTAAACCTATGCCCTCTAGTTTTGGACTCTCCCACCCCAGAAAAAGACTTTGTCTATTTACCCTATCCATGCCCCTCATGATTTTATAAACCTCTATAAGGTCACCTCGCAGCCTCTGACACTCCAGGGAAAATAGCCCCAGTCTATTCAGCCTCTCCCTGTAGCTCAAACCTCCAACTCTGGCAACATCCTTGTAAACCTTTTCCCTTAAATCTCTTCATAGACATAAGATACAATGAAGTACTTTGAAATGTAGTGAACAATACTGGATAGAACAGCAATCGTTTTGTTCTGAGCTTTGTGGATTTTCTCTACATTGGTGTCTTTCAGCTTCAACAATATTCCAAGTACTCATGTCATTCATTTTTCTTTCCTTTGCACATTGTCATGTCCACTTTTGAATATATTGTTTCAAGTCATTTTGTACTTTCT